TTTTAACTCGAGTGCAAAAGGCTCCAGCAAAATATTTTTCAATTCGCGCGTTGAAACGACGTAAATATCAATCATGCTGTAATTGACATACTGCTTCACACGATACAATCTTACATTTGCGGTTGTTGATTAATCAATCTCGCGAGCTCTATTAAGTAAGAAAAATAAAAAAACGATTATCCTCGCAAGTATAAGTCCGTCTCTTCGAGTGGAAACGCTAATAATTATCAGATTTACCCCCCCCCCCCCACGTTCTCCCAACTGTTTTCGTTTCTGACATTTTCTAGGGGACACCTGTATTCATTCTACCATCACACGATAAAACGGACTGTCCTCGCTTCCCAATATTGGCCGTAAATTAAATTTCTAAACGAGACATACGCCTTTGCACACTCATCCTACAAGTCATGGCGCGCCATGCACGCCTACACGCGTGCGCATGCACGCGCGCATAGTGAACCTGCACGTCGCGTTAGATCAGCGATTCTCAACTAGTCCGGTCGAGCTGTTGCGCCTCGCAACCCTATCTATCATCACGCGGGTGAGCGTCGACTGGTAAAAAAAAAAAAAGTCGTATAGCAACAAGACGGCCGAAGGAAACGTTATGTAACGTCGAACGCGGCGGATAAGCTAAAATTCAACGCCGCACATTTTATAATTTACTTCGTGTCGAGTAACCGGATGGGGAATCCACTATCAACACTCTACTAAATTCGATAACGGCGATTAACGGCCGAGAGACCGGGTTGCTTGGAAGTTTAGGAGCTTGCGCATTCCGCGATTTGTTGTTGTAAACAATATCGCGAGATACCGATAATCCCGCCAATCCTGCGCGACGATACGAGCGCGCGCGCTCGAGCGCGGCTGCATTCTCGCGAGCGCGAACGCGGGGCGCTCTCATGGCCACGCGTTGCGTAATCAGCGCGACGGAGTGGTCACGCCGCGCGCGAGGTATAAAACGAACAACGACAAACAAGCCGAGGCGTATACACGCACTCGCTCTGGCGCGCCGCGTGAATACCGCTGCGCGTTTCGGAGGCCCGGAATCCGCCTCGGCCGGTCTCGGCCGCGCTCGGTCGTCCCCGGTGCGAAATAGCCGCGTCTCTCTCTTTCTCTCTCTTCCTCCGTTTCGCGCCTGCGTTCTTCTTCCGCGTACTTTGCGAGAATACCGCGCGTTTCCGCAAAAACGGGCCGCCGGCTGACTTCAGGCCGTTCGCGGTGAGAAATCACGTTCCGCGCGGTCCCTCCTCGTTTTCCCTTCCTCTTTTTTATTTCTCTTTAATTCTATATTATAAATTGTCCTCAAATAAAGTGTCATACATTATTTTAGTTTCATAATAAAAATTTCGCCCTTATAAATTCATATTTCTTACAAATTAGGAGTTCGCAAAACAATACCGCGCTTCCGTGCACGGCGAACATTTTTCCGCCCCCTTTCCCCCTTGGCCTCAATACTTGGACGACTTAATAAACACGTCTTCTATTTTTCCCCTTTTTCTCTCGCTCGCTCTCTCTCTCTCTCTGTATAGCAGATCTTTATTTCTCTTCTCCACTTATTGTTAATCCTTTCCTTTTTCATCTCGGTCGCTCCTCGCCGAGAAGGCGAGAGATACGGATCGATTAGAGGAACATTCCGCTGAGTCAGCTGCTCAAGGATGTACGTGTCCGGTCGGCGAAATCACTCGTGCCGGGGATTCCGTCACGGTGCAACACGCGCCTCTTATTTCTCTTTTCGCCCTCTCCTCCCTCCCGCCCTCTCCCGTACCCGTCCCGTCGCCATCCCTCCTGGCCTTTTCCACCGCGCACGCGCGAGTGCGGGAAGGAAGACCGGCGCGCGAATATTACCGCGATTGCGACATCCGCGGCGATTCCTCGAGTCCGCGATTTACGTGACTCGCAGCCGCGATCTCGTCGCCTTCGCGCTACTTCGCGCTAGGCGCGAAAGGGGCACGGGGGGAGCAGGAGGGGGTGGCAGGGGAGGAGGATAAGGAGCAGGAGGAGAAGCGGACGCGGCGGGAGGGAAGGGGGAGAGAAAATCGCGCGGCGAGGACGCGCATCCGGAGGTGACGCGCTCGTCCTACAAATAGGGGGTTGGCTGCATCGATTGGCCGTATTTCGACGACAGAATCGAGGTCGAAATCGAAAGAAAAAGAAAGAAAAAGGGGAGGGAGATGGGTCGAACGCGGATGCAGAATGTTACCCCGACGAAGAAAATTGAAGAGCAGGGCTCACCGATTCATATTCATGCACCCTACATCTCGCCGTTCGATATGCGACGTTACCGAGACATTTTTCTTATCGTAACTTCAAATATAAAAATCGACGCGCAAAAAAGATTGAACTTCGCGATACGTCGGAGGGCTGGCTCGGATCCCAGCTTCTGGCGCGAAGTCTTTCGGATATCTTCCACCTCGTGTGACTATAATAATCAGGGCAAGGAAAACACAAGGCCGCAAGCGGCGCGATTACATCGTTAATTAGCAATTACGCGATAGCGCACGAATGCCGCAACGACTCTTTCGTCGACGCGATCGTGTGCTATTTCTTTGCAAATCGCCAAGTCCGTATTCTTCTAATTAAATACATCTCTTTTTCTCCCTGACAGATATTAGAAATTCCTCTCTAATATTATATATCTTTGTATTATCATTATTTTGTTAACGATATTTTAATCGTGACGAAGATACCTGACACGATCGCTTCGTCTCTCCTTCCCGTGGGACTGCGATAATAATAATTCGAGGAGGACGAAACGCACTCGGATATCTGTTCCCTGTAGCCACCTCCATTCACTGGGGGAGTGCCAGGATGCGCTTGGAACGACGGGCTTACACATTCTTTGACGCACACGTCTGCGTGCGTCACGAATTCACGCATACGAGGTGTCCGCACAAACTCCTACAACGGACGGGTATAATCGAGAATATCGGAAAACATTCCGCAGAGAAGCAATTAGTAATGTAGGAAGCTTTCGTCGAGTTGAATTTAATTATTTCTCGCCGCACGACCTTAACCGAATAACCACAGCTGCACTATTTGCAAAGACAATTAACGTTGAGAAGCTATGAGGAAACGTTTCTTTATCTTGGCTAGCGGGAATGTTCTGTGGGCGCGTGTGATGAATTTTACGGCGACGAACTGTCGCTTCGGGTACACAGCCGTGCGAGCGGGTGGGGTTTCCCGGTACACCCTATATGTGGCTCGCGAGCCAGTGTGTATTATGTATATGGTTGTGTGTGTGTTGTGTGTGTTTGGAAGCGCCGTCAGTGAGCGC